AATTTGTCTTTTTTATTGTTCTTCAAAGGCCAAGAGAAACCAAAGTGAGAAGTAGTAATTTGGGATTAAAAATAGGCATTTTGTTAATACTCTGCATGGTAGTGATAAATGGGGGGACAGATAGATTCTATACCAATTATTTTGTTGATGCTTATCATACTATTTTTCTTGCTTTTGGGCAACAATTAAAGCTTCATTTATCAGTTTATGGATCCTCTAAATTGTTGTATTGTACTCAGGTGACCGTTAAGGCCCTTGGGCCTCTTGTTTAAAAAAAATCTAATATCTGTTGTACAATTATTTTGATAGATAGCCTTTATGGACATTTTGGAACTTCGGGTCACTGAGGAGGAAATGGAGGAGTTAGAGAGAGACATTCGCCCTTGTGGCAGGAGGGGGATAGTCTGTACAGCAGAGGGAGGCCACACCTTCCTTAGGAGTATCAAGGATACAAGGTCGCATTGGAGCCAAGTTCACAGTCCAGATGTTTGCATTTTCACCTGCCACATCTGCCGGTTCGGAAGCTCCAGGAAGAACCAGACAAGCAGACATCTCCAACTAAAACATCCCAAAAAAACCCCAATCAGTGCTCAAGGAAAAATGGGTCAGGAACATCAGACATGTTGATCCGGGGAAGGGAATGATGCCCCTGACCCCTGAAAGTGCTTCTAGAACCGAATATCGGTTACAGGAGGCTAAACGGAGGAGAGAAGAAGGCAGAAATTTGTGCATATCACTTGAAAGAACAGAGACAGTTTCACGAGATCAGGAAGTACGGTCGGATGGGGAAGGAAGCATATCATAATTCCCAGCCGACTTTGGGGAAAAACGTCTCAACCCCAAGTCGAGCCATACAGTTTCGAATAAAGCGATGAACATTTAAAATTTATGATCTTTATTAGTTTAATTGTCAATAATATTTTATTTTTAATTTTTAAGAAGTTAAAGATATTTAACTTATTCCTTATTTTTAACTCCTGCTATAAGTTATATGACTTTAAAATAAACTAGAAATCTGACCAGTCAGCAAGGGCCCCGCCAAGGGTTAGAAATATAAGGGTGCAGATTAGGGAATGAGAATTTTACTTGATTCCAAAAAATTTCAAAATATATAAAGAATAAGCAACAGCAACTGCTAAATATCCAACAATCTGTAAATAGTATCCTTGTATTTACATAAGGCAGTAAAAAACATCATATCTATAATAACTCAATTAAATGTATATTTAAAAATGAATGAAGCATGTGTTTTCTAAAATGCCAGCCTTCAGTGAATGCAAATATCACCCAGGCTTGACCTTAACTTCAAAACAAATATCAGTTGCAGACAAAAGTATTAATTAATCTTAAAGTGACAGAAAGATAACCCTCTAAAATATTCTGCAAACCAGCAAGATAATCAAACCCACGGGATTAATTATACTGCTCTCTCAACCATTTTTTTCTAAGTTTACAATAAGAACTTTTTCAGCAATGATAGAATGAGGTTATTATCTGAATACCTGTTAAAATAATTAGTATTCTTGAATTTACATAAGGCAGAAAAAAAGAAAACAAGAGGCCCATGGGCCACATCGCTCACCTGAGTAACTTTGGCCATGCTGTTCTTTACCAGATTCCCCCCCCCCCCCCTTGTAATACCTATTGTGGCCCCTCCCTACCCCGGGGGGTCCTGTTTGAACAATTTAGAATCTACACTACCAAAGGATGCTTCCACATACGTTTCAGCTTTTCTTGCCCAGTGGTTCTTGAGAAGAAGATTTTTAAAGATTTTTCCTATATATTTCAATGTAAAACTTGGATTCCCTATTGTGGCCCCGCCCTACCCCCGGGGGTCATGATTTTAACAATTTAGAGTCTACACTACCAAAGGATGCTTCCACATAAGTTTCAGCTTTTCTGGCCCAGTGGTTCTTGAGAAGAAGATTTTTAAAGATTTTTCTTATATATTTCAATGTAAAACTTGGATTCCCTATTGTGGCCCCGCCCTACCCCCGGGGGTCATGATTTTTACAATTTAGAATCTACACTACCCAAGGATGCTTCCACATAAGTTTCAACTTTTCTGGCCCAGTGGTTCTTGAGAAGAAGATTTTTAAAGATTTTTCCTATATATTTCAATGTAAAACTTGGATTCCCTATTGTGGCCCCGCCCTACCCCTGGGGGTCATAATTTTAACAAATTAGAATCTACACTACCCCAGGATGCTTCCACATAAGTTTCAGCTTTTCTGGCCCAGTGGTTCTTGAGAAGAAGATTTTTAAAGATTTTTCCTATATATTTCAATGTAAAACTTGGATTCCCTATTGTGGCCCCGCCCTACCCCTGGGGGTCATAATTTTACCAAATTAGAATCTACACTACCCCAGGATGCTTCCACATAAGTTTCAGCTTTTCTGGCCCAGTGGTTCTTGAGAAGAATTTTAAAGATTTTTTCCTATATATTGCAGTGTAAAACTTGGATTCCCTATTGTGGCCCCGCCCTACCCCCGGGGGTCATGATTTTAACAATTTAGAATCTACACTATCCTAGGATGCTTCCATATAAGTTTCAGCTTTTCTGGCCCAGTGGTTCTTGAGAAGAAGATTTTTAAAGATTTTTCCTATATATTTCATCGTAAAACTTGGATTCCCTATTGTGGCCCCGCCCTACCCCTGGGGGTCATGATTTGAACAATTTAGAATCTACACTACCCCAGGATGCTTCCATATAAGTTTCAGCTTTACTGGCCCTGTGGTTCTTGAGAAGAAGATTTTTTAATGACCCCACCCTATTTTTGTCTTCTCTTGATTATCTCCCCTTGTGAGGGGACTTGGCCCTTCATTTTAACAATTTAAATTCCCCTTCACCCAAGGATGCTTTGTACCAAGTTTGGTCAAAATTGGCCCAGTGGTTGTTGAGAAGAAGTCAAAAATGTGAAAAGTTTACAGACGGACAGACAGACGGACGGACGGACGACGGACAAAATGTGATCAGAAAAGCTCACTTGAGCCTTCGGCTCAGGTGAGCTAAAAAAGAATCTAATAATAAAAACGATATCTTTATCTATATCTTGTTTTTAGAATTCAATAAAATCATAACTCATTGTGTATTTTACCAAAATAAAGTATGAACATTATATAAATCCACATTTCAGAGAATGTAAATATCATTTAGAATTGACCTTAACTTCAAAACAAACTTCATTTCCAGACAGAGGTGTTAATTAATCTCAATGTGGCAGATAAAGATAAAATGCTTTGGATTTTCTTCAAGAGGAAAGTTAATTGAGGGAGTTAGCAAGATTCCAGTTCCCCAAGGCCAGGACTACATTTCCCGAGGCGAAGCCGAGGGAAATAGTCCTGGTCGAGGGGAACTGGAATCTTGCTAACTCCCGCAATGATATACTTTTAACTGTTTTATTATACCGATACACACGTAAAATTTAGAGGATTCAGATAGCATGATTTCATAGCAGGGATTAACTCACTGGACTAACACACAGGGATTAGTCCATTCACGAATCATACCAATGTAAAAATAAAATCTAGAGGATTAAGGATAACCGGGAATTAGCTTTTGATGCAGGGATTAGATCACTTGACTAACGCACGGGAATTAGTCCATTGATAACGATTTCTAGGGAATTAGTCACACCTAACGATCTAATGTTATGTAGGGAAAAAATCAGTAGAGGTATAATAAATTTGAATAATGTTCATGCTCTCAAATTCAAATATGCTATGCAAGTGGAGCACTCACAATAACTGTTGGGACAAAATCTTTAGACAAGAAAATACCTCCTTTAAAAGACTGTAATAAAATTACTAAAACTAAATGTTGTCATGATGTATAGTATTTGTCATTTTTTTAAATTTTCTTCTCCAATATAGCTATATCCTTAGGTTATGGTTTTCTATTTAAAAATTACAAAATATACCAAAATAGGCTTCACTGTATATCTAAGGCTAATATCTCTCAATCGTACCTCCATGATAGATTTAATTATCATTATTTCATATTACAATATACTTTAATATTATGTAATTGCAATTGTAATCATACTGTAACAATAGTATTTGCTCCCTGAGGGCTCTTGATTGGTGAATAAACATAACACGCTAAGCCTTATATTCTGGCAATTCAACTGAGAAAAAGATTGTCCAGTTCTATATGTGTTACTTTTTATTTCATATAACCATCTCTTTTTAGCATCAACTGTATCCATGTGCAGACTACATGTTAAATCACACGATAAATTATTTTTGGTCAGACTTGAACTGACATCTGCACACTTCAAAAGCGTGCCGCACTACATTGTGCTACAAAAATTTGTAAGGTGTGATCCACAGCAGTATACAAGGATACAACAGATTTGAGATGATCGGTTGCCTTCAATATTTACTCAACAATAAATTTAGGTGAAATTTGGATGTATTTTCATTCAAAAATACCAAGAAATCGAGGTAACATTCAAGTGTCAAATATTACACAATCACATGTTTGAGTCTCGTCGCTTATATCCGTAGACTATTCCGTAATTAGGCTATGTCATCTTGAAATTTTTATTTTGGCCGTTAGAACAAACGTGTATGACTCGTAAAACACAAAAATATCAAAACCGACACAGCAAACTTAAAGAGAAATCGCGATATAATCTCTGTTCTCGTGTACTTACCATGGCGGCGGCCATATTGAACTGGTTAGCTGGACGTTTCCATTAAACAGTGAGTGCCAGGCCTACTGTGCGTAGCATTATGGGTAGGCCGGAACCAGGCTAGCGGAGCCATCTATATCTACCCCAAGGTGTTCCGAATGTTGTCAGAAGACTGCTTTCATCGTCCAGAACGATGTGCCAGAAACCATCTTTGCAGTCGACAACAGAAAAAATCCTAGCTTTGCTCAGTTCTGGCAATATGTCTTCTATAGTCGGTGTTGTGTAATGGTTACATTTCAAGGATTTGTTTAGCGGCTTTGGGTCAATGCACAGTCGCATTTTCCCACTGGGCTTCCTTACGGCTACGAGTGAGGAAATCCAGTCAGTTGGCTAACACACCTAGGTCTGTCAGTCTGTAGAGCTTCTTTTTCTAGCGGAGCTCTCATAGCGATCGGGACCTTTCTAGTGGGAAGTTTAACGGGAGCAGTCGAACTGTCAATCTCAAGATGCAGCTTTCCACTTAATTTTCCAAGACCATTGAATACGTCGCTGTATTTCTCTTGAATGCTTTTGTTTTGAGTCTCGGAGTCGACGGCAGCAATGTTTTCTCTGTTGACCGTAATCATGTTCATTCCTTGAATTACCTTTGCTCCTAAGATTGGGTTCAAATTTCCTTGAACAACAACAATTTCAATGTTGTAACGTTTATTGTTTTTGGGATTTCGCACACTTAGTCTTCTTTTGCCAAGAAGGTGGCATTCAGTTTTGTTAAACATGACAAGAGTCATGTCTGCTTTTTGAAGCATGCTGAGATGAGGGTCACTGCATACCTGTTTATAGATTTCTTCGGGTAGTACATTCACGGTTGACCCACAGTCTAACTGGAATCTCACAGTTTTCCCTTCAATTTGGATTTCTGCATAGAGTTTTTCCTCAATGGAATTTACGTTTTCAATCATGAGGATGAATTCCTCATCACTTGTACCATTGTTGATTTGTTTGATGTGGCCACGCCTTGGTTGGAGTAGTGGGCATTTCGTTGAGAAGTGGTTCATCTGGCTGCATTTTCTACCCTTTTTCCCCATGCTGGACACAATTCTTTTCTAAAGGGGTGTTCCTTACCACAATATATATAGGCATTCTTTGTGACTTGTAGGGGCAGTCGGAGATTGTTTAATTTCTTTCCTTCTTGTTTGTTTGGTTTTTGTAAATGTCTGCGGTTTGCGTGGCGATATCATTTTTACGGCATGTACCTCTTCCATAGTTTTAAGCTGGGAGGTGGATTTTTTATTGGCCCTCCAGATGTCAACACATCTCTTTAAGTCCAACTTCGGTTCCTGAAGTAATTTTTTTCGCGTGCCATTGTCCCGTATTCCTAATACATTTCTGTCACGGATCATGTCATTTTCCAGCGCATCAAATTTGCACGTTTTTGCAAATTATCTCAGAATTGCCACATATGTGTCAATATTTTCAGTCGTTTCCCGATCTCGTTTATAAAACGTATATCTTTCATAGGTTTCATTTGTTTGTCCAATGCAGAAGGCTTCAAATCTTTCAAGTACTATATCTTTTTTGTCATCTTCATTCTCAAACTGGAGACCATAAAAAATGTCTAATGCATCAGGTCCAATGCATGTTAGAAAGGTAGCAGTTCTCACCTCTTTGTCTTTCTCCTTTACGTTGGATGCAGTTTCGTAGTTAGTCCACATCCGCTTGAATTTTTTCCAGTTTGTTGAGAGATTTCCCTTGAGATCCAATTTTCCAGGTATTGGAATTGATGGATTCACAACAGTGGGAACGGAAGCATTTGCGTTTCCCTCGTCACCCATAGTGTCCACTTAAATCCAGAGATTCTCAGAAAAACACTTCTGACACCATGTAAAGTAATGGTTCTAACACGTGTGTGTTCTACGTGAGTTTATTGCAGACTGGCTAGTATAAACAAAGTGCATAAAGATATAGCACGCAAACCCGTGGTTACAGAGGCGCACAGGAGATAGGAATAATCTTAGAATACAATATATACGTTACATATATAAACCCGTGTAACTGTTAGACACGTGAGGAAAATTTTAAAGCATTAATTTGCTGTAAGTTCTCTCACTTTAATAAAGGTGTATTAGGTATTTAACAGGTTGCACCACTAGAAATTATGTTAAGATATTAGGCATTTTGACTAATTTGTCGTCTATTGCTCCTGTTAAATTTATTAAGCCATAAATCTAAAAGCTAGGAGATTGGTTTTAAGGTATTCTTAAATAAATAAGGGGTTTTTCTAAATTACCCTAGGCCTTTTCCCCCGGCTAGGTTGGGCTAGCATTTCCGTACGCTAGGTTGGGGGGTGATTTTTATACAGGTGTTAGGATTTTTCTACAAGGCAGGTATTTACAGTTATTTTATTTTATACTATATTTTTTTTTGTCTATACAAAGGTTAATAAATTTTGTTGTTTGTTGGAACTGGTGTGTTCATTACGACTGACATGAGGTGTTGAAATAAGGTACAAATAAGCTCGGAATTAAGACCAAGCAGAATCTCAAATCAAAATAAGAACCTGGGAAATAATAAACTTGAGAAAATAGGAGAAAGTTCAAAAAATATTCTACAACCACTAATGGAAATGGTGTTCTAAGGTTTACTCCTATTACATTTGCGTATGGTATAGGTAAAATTTGTAGGAAAAACGTTTGTGTATGAGTTGACTACTCATTTTTGTGCACAGGAAGACTTTGTGTACGTATTAAATCCTCAATTTATACACAGGAAAACCTTTTGTAGGAGTTGACTTCAATTTTGTGTACGTGTTTGCAGGTTGCACAACAGTATTAAATTTTGCTATATATTCTTACCAAAAATGCGCAACTTTGAGTAGGTGGTATTAATTGAAAACAAACTTTTGAGAAGTTTCCTTTTCAGATCTTGTAAAACAATTCTTTATAAAGATTTTAGTACCAAAAAATACATTGGCATCCAGCAAGGCACGCAAGTTTGTTTCGGTCGAAGTCGAGCAGGTGCTTGAAAATCAAGTCCAGGACCTAATCACTCCCCACTCAAATACAGTATATAGAAAAAATCAGCACGCCCTAAATTACAATGAATCTAGTCAATACAGGAAGTTTACATATTGTTTTTCATCTCATAAAAAAAAATTCGGCTCCAGTCTCGTGTTAAATGCCCGAATCGGAAGGGAAGATTCAAGAATTATTTTGCGTCAGTCATGATTTGACGGGAACCTCAAGTGAAATACTGTTATGACACCTTAAACACGGAAAAACCTTGTTGTCTGACGTCATGGCGTCAGACAGTGATAGGTTTAGCCAAGGCTTGTTGATCAATTTGTTCAATAGAATTCGCGTGATAACTCGATCTTGGAAATTTCATTCTATCTTAACTATCAATTGGAGAGGGGATTAATGAAAACATGCTAAACACCCCAACAAGCCGAATTATTGGGCCTCATTATTATCACATTATACATTACACGTTACATAACACGTAGCCATTCTCTTATGCATCACTATCACGTCCTGCAAAACAGCAGGAGTAAAGCTGGTCAGGTTAGTTGTCGAATATCCTTTTCAGATTAACTAATAGATGTTTATTCTCGATGCAATACAAAGTCTTTCTACATTTAGAATTACACATATTCCTGACATTGCAGACGTTTGATTTATTCATGGTCAAAAAATATCCAAGTGAAAAATGGTAGATGATAATTTTTTTTTGTTAATATACAAACATTTTAGCTCATTTGTATCAGGTTTATTATTCAAAAAAAAAATCATAATTATCCCAATTGTTCACCAATTGATGTTTAAATTTTTACAGATGTATGTGTTGTAACTTTCTCTTTCAAAAGCACCGGTTATATTTCTCTATCCAGGAACAGACCAGATGGATGAAATTTCACGAGGAGTGGGATGCACAAATTTCCGAAGGCACTATCAAGGGAAAATTAGTTTTCAAGCATAGTTATCATGAATACGTTATTTTTACATGATTCATGGGACATAAAGTAGCTATGACTTTCTATCGCATATAATTATATATCGGCAAAAAACTTGGGGGAGGGGGGGGGGTCGGGGTGTCTTCTCCTCTCCCCAGTTCCTACGGCCATGAAAAAAGAGAAAATTACAAGTAATGCATTATATATTGTGGAATCATTTTAATTCGTGGGGGTCAATGTTCGTGGACAAGCAAAATTTTACTTGTTCGAGGGGACGTAATTTCGTGGGTTACTCTTTTATACGGTAGATTCAATTAATCAATATGTTTACAAAATAAACGTTCGTGGGGATGTAAATTCGTGGGTAAGAGTGACCCACGAAATCCACGAACATTTGTCCCCCACGAACAATGATGATTCCACAGTAAAGAATAAATTCATAACCGAGTTTTTTTTTTAAGTTGGTACCACTGGATTGAACTTTGCGTGTTTTTTAGCAAAATAATTTATTTCTGGAGATGTGTTGATTACGTTGGGTTCAACTTTTCTTAATTCTTCGTATAGTATCGAATTTTGCTCACGTCAGACAAGCTTTTTAAGAAAGCTAATACTTGTGTACCAGTTTACTTCAGTTTTGTGTACGAGTTTACTCCTTGTGTACGAGTCGGTTTGTGTACGATTTGACTGGATATCGCGCCGTCATATTGCGGGAGAAAGGGATCCTGGGCCATAACACTCGCCTGCGTCATTATTTCCATTCTTGTTCTTCATTCAATATATAAAACTTTGGCTTTCCTGTTCTTTGAAAGATTTTTCGGAAGTATTTAGTTATGATCTGACAATATTTTCAGAAGTGACTGTGAACTTCGGAAAAATACGAATATGAATGTTTCATCTTTTGGATAGAAAATAACCATGGCAGCAGGTCATTTTAAGCAACCTCCGAAGAAGGATTTCTCACGAGAGAGCCTGACTTTATTGATAATAATGAAATATATGGAGATAACGAACAGTATTCAAGCTCAGAAGTCCATTATACAATACAAAATAGAAGCAGAGCAAACACGGACCTCCAAACATCAGAGGTGGGATCAGGTGCCATGGAGGAGTGAGCATCCCCTGCCGACCGGTCACACCCGCCGTGTGCTCCTTGTCATGATCGGGAAATAACGGAAAAATCCGTCGACAATTCAGTGTGTAAATAATGGTCTAACAATTAGTATGAAAAACGTCAGTCAGCATTTGACTCAATGATATAAGCATTTCTATATAACAGCATTATAATTGCAAGCTTAACATAAAGAATTACATCACGTGTAAAATACAGGGAAAATATTTCACTGGGAAAGGCTGAGTTAGAGTTTCAGTGTTTGTTGATAACCAGATTTAATTGACGCAACTTTACTACAATTATAAATGTCAAAGTTAATAAAGATAAGTGTTTCAATATCATTACACCTCCCTCTTTAAGATGAACAAAAATTCTTAAGTTTTTTCAGCAGTTCCTATAAATATAACATTAATAAAAATTATTGATATACAAACAAAATACATAGAGCTGTTGAAATTTATTTACAAATATGCATAAGAAAAGTCTGTTAGTGGAGTTAGAGGTTACTAGCACTTAACTCCGTTGGAATTCAACTTTACCTTGAGCTGAAATCACATCTCTTCGATTAACCGCTTTGGTGGATTTATAGAGTACACCGCAGCGCGACCTTGTTGCCCTTTTTTCTATTAGAGCATTTTCAACAGGATTTTCAGACGCACGAGCATCAATGTCAATGTCCTTATTGTCGATTACCATCGGCAATCTATTCTCTTTCTCCGTTATAATTAATTGACTTCTGTTTCGTCGCATCTGGGTTTTTTTCGGTCTGCATAATGTATGATGGCGGCTCTTTTGATTTTACTCGGATTTCTGGCGGTTTCCACATCTTTCCCTCTAGGACCCGCACAATGTCACTTGTTTTTAGCTCACCTCAACGAAGATGAAGGGAGCTTATGTGATACCCTCGGCGTCGGCGTCCCAGGTTAAAGTTTTTGATGCAGTTTCTTTTTAAGAACTATGCCCTACACTAATCAGAGATGCATGGCAGATGTTTCTAGTGTGTTTCATTGTTGCAGTCAAGGTTT